AATATTCTAATTTTCTGAGATACCGAATTTGGGGTTTTCATTGGTTGTCAGTTATAATCATCACAATTAAAAGAAATAAACATTTGAAATATATCAGTCTGTGTGTAATGAATGAATATAATATATAAGTTTCACTTTTTGAATGGAATTAGTAAAATAAATCAACTTTTTGATGATATTCTAATTATATGACCAGCACCTGTACATATAAAAATTATATATCTACTGAAATATGATTTAGAGGTAGTAGTATTTAAAAGTAGGAGTATCATTTTAAAAACCGGTCATCACTATTTTAAAAATCACTTTCCTATACTACACTAAACAGCACTGTACATTAATAAGAGGAAATAGGTAAAACAGCATGTAAGCTGAGAAGCAAAATCTTATCTAATAACCTCAATTTTTATTCCTACTGTTTAACACAAATGCTATGTAGTACAGTATACTACTATTAGTATAATGCTATATTATTAATATTAGTATAATGCTATATTACCAATATCTGTCAGTACCCATCATTATCAACATAACTGAATTTACAAATGTATGAAAGTTTAACCACTTTTAAACATTATGCTCTTAATAAAGGTGAATGCTATGGCATTGCTGTTGTACTGCGTCTGGTTAAATGTTAGGCGGTGTAATTGTTTGGCTAGCAGGGGGCGTTATCGACTTGACGTCAGTGAAACGAATGGTTTCGAGTCATCACGTCTGGTATCGCGGTATCTGCGCCGACATTTCGTGCAGAAGTACACTGCAAAGGGAAGAGCAGAGAAGAAAAGAACCTCGTTCATGAATTAAACCTCACTGTGTTTGTTCACAGAATTCTCGGTAAGAATCCAGCAGCGATATCCCGTTCAATAATAGGGAGCCAAACGCGAGAGGAACCGCTAATTGCGTGTATCCTGCCCGCTGCTCTGCTCTGACGCACACAAAGCAAGGGTCACAAACGGCTAAGTGGTTAACAGCGTTAGCTTGCTCAGATAGCTAAGCTACGCTAACGTCGCTAAATTCAGTATTTCTACTATGAGCTAGCTATTTGTTTTTGGCTATTAGCATTTTCATTGTAAGGGCCCTATGACTGATATCGTAGTTGTTTACTATAACGCTACTAACTGCTTGATTAGAACGTTTAGGCGGCTTTGTAACATTAAATAGTATTTTGTCCATGGCTAAGCGACATGTTTTGATGTTTTCAAGTGTTTTTCATTCAACTGAGATTTTTCGCTCATTCAAGTTCCTTCTTGTCCTTTTTTCACTTTGTGTGAGTAGAGATACGATGTGTGAGTTTGAGTTCAGATCAGCTTTGTCTTCGACTCGGCTTCGGCTTTTCTGCGGTGGGTGCCCACCGGAAACCATAAACGGTGTTACACGTCAACAGCAACATGGCCTGTTAAGAGCAGGTAGACTGTTATTAAAGTTGGATGACGTTCACAGTGTTTCTTTTAGCTGGTGGTTACGCTGAAACGGTTCTCTAGCACAGCAGAGTGTTGGTGTACTGACTTTAGCTTATTTCATACATGGAGTTTCCAAAGTAATGGTTTGTTATAGAAATGTGCCTAATGGATCTTTTAAAACGAGACCGAACCAGTACATAGAGTGGGTGACTATGGTGCTCACAAGAGGGAGCAAATGGAAAATAATAGAACAAGGTGAAGGATTGTATAGCGGATTTTGCAGTTGAATGCCTAATTATCTATGCAGTTTTATTATGACTGTTAAAGCCCCGATATTATGCAAATATATAAAGTGTAGCAAAACGAATGTGTGCTTCAGACCTGATCACACCAGATTCTGCCTGCTTGCCCTGTCTGTTGAGGTTTGAGCTCATTGTGCTAAAATGAATTCTGTTTGTGTTTATTACACTGATGGCCTTGGACTCTTCTTATTCAGTGACACACTGTTTGCTGTTTTCTATGATTCGTGACAATATTTGGACACTTGTGTATTCCAGCTGTTGTCATAGGAATTAAGGCAGTCTTTTGCTCTTTAATTGTGAATTTGCTGTATTAAATTTCCTTTTGGGTTTCTGGCAGTTTGAAAGGAGTTCCTTTCAATTTCCTGTCAGTTCCATTGTGATTCTTTGTTTATATGAGTGCAAACTACAGCTTCAGTTGAATCTTTTTACCTTACATTGGACATTCTTGTTGTCTTTCTGACTAGGTGTTGTTCCCTCTCCTCGTGTGTCTTATCCTGTTGCTGCTGTTGATGCTTCACACAGACCTTTAGCAGGTTGAGGAAGAGGGGTGGATATCCAGGTTGAAGATTTGTCTTAAAAAAATCTTGAAGAAGCATGGTGTGGACTGCCAGGTTTATGTCAGTGCTGGTGTGTTTTTTCTGTGGTGAGGTTGAGCAGTGCACTCTTTGATTATGTATGGCATTGTGTTGAATGGTGGTGTGAGTTACAGGTAGCAGCCTGATATACAGACAGCAATTTTAAAAGTTTGTATTTTCAGGGCTTTCAGTTAATGCATTTTATGAGTTGTAGAGGGACTGAAATGTTTGGGGATTTTGTGTCCATCCATGATCATGAGGTCTGGTGGTCCAGGGATTGGGGGTAGAGTACAGACACCTGAGGATGTTGTCTGAGGATCTACAGGGGGTTGTTCTTCTTCATTGGTGCTTTACTGTAGCCAACATACCTTTTGTTGAATTGCTGCTACCCTCTAAATTAGTCCAGTATCCTTCAGAAAATTTGATGAGCCATCTTAATCTTCTCCCATTCCCCCAATTTCCATGATATTTTTAATTGTTTCTTATTCCCAACAAACCTTCTTGAACTCACGTGGAGAGGTGGTTTTGGTGGTTGTTGCTCAGTTGGTTAAAACGTTTTCATCAGTGTTGGCAAACATATCACTCTGCCCCTGTCTTCTATTTGTTTTCTCTGCTGGTCAGCTGCTGTCTTTGGTGGTGTGCTGGCAATCAGTTGCTGATGTTGCTATGGTTGATGTAATGTTAATGTTGCTCTGGTTGACATGATCCTAATGTTGCTTCAGTTTACATGTATCTGACATTGCTTTTGTTAAAATATTGGATTATGTTGCTCTTGACAAGTTACTGCTGTTGCTCTTGTTGACCTGATGCTTATGTTTTGTTGATGTATTGCACAGTTGCTACTTGCATGTGATGTTTTACAACTAGTTGCTGACATGATGTCTGATGATTTGGTGCTGCTTGCAGATTCAGGAAGCTGCAGGGATTCCTGCTCACCTTTGTGCTGTTGCTGCTGCTTGGTTGTTGAATAGGTCCTGGGTTGTTGTGTGGTGTTTCAGGGTGCTGCCGCTTGGTTGTAGAGATCAGTGGAATCTCTGTAGCTCAGCATACCTGGTTTTCACTTAACTACTTTATTTGTTCTGAGGAACATTTGAGTGTAGTTTGATATTTGGTGTGTACACTGCCAGGTTTAGTTGTGGCACTTTTTGGATAGATGTGTCTCTTGTCGAATAGGAAAGGTACTGCGATCTGGGAATGTTTTCCCTCTGATAGTTGGTCTTATGGTTGTTGCCATTCTTGATTTTAGAAGTTATTTTCTACTTTTGCTGCGATTTAAAAAAAAAAAAAAGCTTTTTTTATGAGGCTGAAATCAACAAAACTTTAATATTCAACAATCTGATTGAGACCTAATTATTGACACTGATTAATCACAGCCTCCCAGCTGCTGAAAGCATCAACATACATCACTTGAAGCTAATGTAAACTGACTTTGTGTCAGTGTGGTCTTTTATAGGTTGAAG